GGATCTGGCTAATTTGGTTCTTTGAACGCACCTGTTGTTGATGATTAGTATGGCTGGATTGAGTTATCGGAGATAATTGCGCGTTCATTTGCGCGTTTAAAAGGGGCTATGTATCAATACTCGAAACCACGATGAGCTTTGGGAAGAGAGCAGGGTTGCCGGTTGAGCTCTGGGACAAGAACGGGATCGCCTCTTTTTTCAGATGCTGAAGTCGATACTGGACAGTGTTTAAAAATTAAAGCATGTACTGAGCTCTGGTCAAGGGCTGGAGCCTGCACCGGACTCAGGTCAGGAGTTAGAGCCATCTCTCAACTCTGGACAGTGGCTGGAGCCTGACTCTGAGTGCTTACTTCTTCTCTGTCTCCTTTTCTTGGCTGAGGTTATAGGGAGCATTATCTCAGGAGCGTGTTCTGGGCTGAAAGCTGGAGCAGATTTGCACAGAGGTACCAGTGGCTGAGTGGTGATGGTGGCTTCATCAACCTCACCAACGGTGAGGGAGGAACCACCCAGCCACAACACATGGTCAATATATTGAGTAAGGGAACGTGGTATCTGTTACAGAGACCTGATTCAAAAGATGGTCATCAAGTCCAAGCCAGAAAAGTCTTCAATGCGCCATCACTCCAGGGCACAAGATGAGAGAGTCCGATAAATTCCTCTAAATACTCCTCAATTGGGTGGCCATCTTGAGAACGGGTATAGAGTAATGCGGCAGGATCAAATAAAATGGAGCTCAGTCTGCGGTGTTGTCTGTTGTATGGTCTGGTCTTCGGTCACAACTGGCTTGAGACAAACAAGGTTGGTACAGGTTATACAAGCTTCTTTATTTCCACAAATAGAATGCCAACTCAAACAGGTAAGTATCAACATAAACAGTCTCAGGAAGCTCACTTCAAGTCAAGTCTGCTTTATTGTCAATTCTTCCACATGTACAGCACATACACACAGAGAATTGAAATTGCGTTACTCTCAGACCCTTGGTGCATACAGATAACACTAACAGTAGAACATAAATACAGATATACAGATTAAATATAAAATACAACTATACAAATATACAAATAAGGTAAAATGTAAAAAAATATATATACAAAACAAAAAAAAATAAAAAAAATAAAATATATATATATATATATATATATATATACAGTATCTCACAGAAGTGAGTACACCCCT